AGTGGGTACGACTCGGCCACACCGAAAACTAGAACCAATCTTGACAAACAGATTGAAGATCTGAGTTCAGGGTATCAAATAACGTTAGGAATCGTTCTCATCTGCTCGGGTCCAAAAGTTGACCCGAATTTGTAAACTTGTGTAATTAGTTTAAAAAACAATAAAATTACAGATGATAATCAAAGGTCAAAATGACATTACTTGCAAATTTTGAAGTATAATTAGTGGAAAAAGTTAAAAGTTTGTTATTTTTTTCTACTATTTGAAAACTACTACACCCATAGACTTAAAATAAAATATAGACTACACTATTTACATCTCAACGCGGTCAAACAATATTTTTTGTATACATGTTTACTTCTGGGTACAGTCGACCGAGCCTTTCTCATCCAGCCTATGTTGTCACGTCTTTAATATTATCAATATTTTTTTTCTTGTTACACACATATATTGAGATATAGCTCTACAACAATAAACCTAATCATGCGGTATTTGCCACACGTGTTAGTGTCCTTCTAAATATTACTAGGATATGATATTTGCTTTCCTACTTGAATCAACACTGTTACCAGCTGCGATATTATTTTTGGCGGTGTATTGAGTAATAATTATTAAGTGTTATTAAAAATATACTATAGCACGTGTTTGGCCTCGTGTCTTATATTTTTAACAAACGGTTCTTTCAAAAATTATAAAACAATTATTTGAGGAGACAGCGAAAGCTTCAGGCGAACGTCAGTCACTTAATAATTTGATTACGTTAACCTCATTTTTTTGTTTACGCTGTATGAGACTTTTATCCGACTAATTTTAACTGAGGGTGTATAGAGGGAGAATTTTTATGTCCGATCTATAAAAGACGTTATTCAGGTTATTTTTACACTGCGGGAATATTAATTTTGTATTTGACGCGAATTTATAATGCAAAATGAAAAAAAGTGGCACTGGATTTGTTTCTCATAAATATTCTAAAAATCCATTTCTACCTTGAGAAGGAATTATTAAAAAAATAATTTTGGGAATGGCACAATAGTTTTCGGATATGTTTCGCTTCCTGCTCAAACCACTCAACGTAAGAAGCTCAATTTTGGCACACAGGTTGATTCTAGGGTGTAGAGGTTCGATAAGAAGGGATTTTTCGAAATTCCAGTTCCAAGAGGGTGAAACCACCAAATCAAATATTACAATATTTTTTATTTAAAAAAAGGTCATGTTTTCGATAAAACGCTTAAACACCTATATTTTATTTTGTTTTTTTACATATTTTAAGATTTTTTAAAAATGTATACAGGGTGTTTCGAAAAATCTGGTCATTGATTAATCACGATCCTGCTTAAAGCGCTTGACGTAAGGGTGTAGAGGTTCGATAAGAAGGAATTTTTCGAAACTCGAATTCTAAGGGGGTGAAAGTATCCCTCAAATATTAAAATATTTTTTATTTAAAAACCGGTGAGTTTTTCGGAAAAATCCTTGAACACGTATATTTTATTTTGTTGTTTTACATATTTTTAAGATTTTTTATAAATTTATACAGGGTGTTTCATAAAATATGACCATTGAGCAATCACGATTCTGCTTAAACTGCTTGACGTTTAAAGCTGATTTTTCGCAAACGGATTGCCTGTGGGGTGTAGAAGTTCAATAAGGAGGGGTTTCTCGAATCTCAAATTCAAAGAGGGTGAAAACGCCCCTCAAATATTACAATATTTGTTATTTAAAAAACGGTCAGTCTTTCGGCAAAACGCTTGGACAAGCATAATTTATTTGGTTTTTTTACATATTTTGAATTTTTTTAAAAAATCATACAGGGTGTTCCAAAAAGTTGGGTAATTTCTTAACCACGATTCTGCTTAAACTGCTTGACATAAAAAGCTTATTTTTAGCAAACGGATTTTTCGAAAGTCAAATTCCAACGAGATGAAACTACTCAAATATTACCAAGTTATATAATAATATCGCCATATTGTTTTTCTCATGCTGACATAAATATGAGAACAATTTATCCAGTTTGTATGTTAATGGAAATTCTTGCTTTCCTTTATCATCGCCATTACAGTTATAATTAATTAACTAAATATTCTATTGATCGACCCACCCTATATAAGGAAATAAGTAATCTTTATTTATTGTTTGGGAAATTTGGTTCATAAAATAGTATGACTCTGTTTTTTATTCATTCTAAGCCGTAAAATATTTATGACTCTAAAGTATTTTTCCACGTCAAACTTTTTAAAATACTACTCTAATTTTAATCTGTTTGAATCAAAAATTAATAAAGAAAAAATACCTAAATAATACGATAACCCCAATTTATTGCTTCTAATAAGAAACGATTTATTGCTGTTATTTCTTAATGGGAAATGAACGGTGCATTTTTGTATAGACAGTTGTCAGTTTTATTATTTTCAGATATTATGTTTATTTATGAACAATAATAATTTATTGATATTGGTCTTATTAGCAAAATTTTTCTATCCTCTTCTCTAAAAATGGTTCTAGGAGACTATTATTTATATATTATTATTGGTTCTATATTATTTTTATGGTTCTATATTATATGCCTTAAATATTAATTATTTTATTAAGAAATATACCATACGATCGAAAAAAAAACGGCGTCAAAGACGGCTGGGTATTTTAGCTTTTAAGTTTTTTTTAGATTAGTAAAGATATTGATCATTTATCAACAACTATGCAATTACTTGTGTTTTTTTATAACTCATTTCAATTTCACTGCACTAGTTCACCTATTCAGATACAAACTAAACCTTACATTCTATAATTCGATAGTATATAGATATATATTGGGATAAAATTGTACTCATTAATATTACGGGACAATAATGTATTTCTAACTATTAAAAAACATTGTGTCACCCTTAATTTTCCAGTGTTTAATTTATGTGGGATTCAAAAAATTCCATTGACCAAGCTAAATTAACACCTATACGTTATTAATTATATTCTTGTTTTTTGTTATCGACCTTTTCTTAATTTTAATAGTAAGTATCGCCTTCTGTAATTACAATTAAAAACAAATTTAACAGCATTCATTAGTTAATAAAAAATAAAAATTTACAGGGTGGGTCAAATTGGACGCTTTTAAAGGGAAACATACAAGTTTTCTATAGGAGATAGATGAAAAATAATATCGCTGTAAGTTTTTTTTCTATGGAAACTTTTGTATTTTTATGAAAACATCTCCAAAGCTTTATCAACAGAAATTTTGATTTTTATATGAGACACCCTGTATATTTTTAATTCATTGAAAATAATATAAAATTACCTTTCCAAAAATATAGCATACTTGCTATTTTGCTTGATTGCTCTTCGAGATATAGATTTTTTAAAAATTCGCCCACTATGAATAAATAGGCTTTGAACGTTTTGTTGATGTAATTCAAGAAAAGTCTAGCTGTGAGCAGCAATTAAAACGAAAATAATATTTGCAATGAGAGATGCAGAATTTTATAACAATTAAAACTATATTTAACAACATCAACACATTTAAACTATATCAATAAAAATTAATAGCAAACCAAAACATGAGATTTTGCTATATGTCGACAGTCTTCTCTGTTATGGACAGACGGGACCGTTTTTGAACATTTCTCACGGAATTCATTAACTCAGAGGGAGTGAAAGATAACCTCGCATAACCGCTAAATACTTCTAATTCGTATGTAGATTATACAGGCAATTTAAAAATAAGAACCTATATTCCTCCGGAAAGATAACAATCCATAGGCACTAAGTCCGGCAGTCTCGATGGCCAACGGCTGGGATTTGGTGATAACGGCTACAAAAATTTGTTGATAACTTCAGCGTTCTGATGCGGTGCGTTGTCTAGCTGGGAAAATATATTTTCGAGTTCTATTAGGGGCATTATCATCAATAAGGGGTCCAAAGCCTACTAGTTAAAAGTGGTGAACTTTTAAAATTCTGTATTTGGAAGGAGACTATAACAAAATATCAAGTGTGGTATATTTTTGGAAAGGTAATTTTAAGTTCTTTTCATTTAACTAAAAATATACAGGGTGTCCTAAATAAAAAATCAACTTTTCTGTTGATAACTCTTAAATTATTAATTTAAAAAAAATTATACTTGAACCATTAAATTTTACGTAAAAAGGTGCTTTGGAAATGTTTTCATAAAAATACAAAATTTTTCATAGCAAAAAGGTTACAGCGGTTTGTTAAAAATGCATATTTTTGAAAAACACCCTGTAACTCATAAACGGTGACAGATATCGATGTGTGGTTTTCACCATCATGTTTTTGATAAAAATTCAGCTCCAGACACCGATATTAGTTTTCGTTATCTCCTATAGAAAAGGGTGTTTCCCTTTAAAAGCGTCGAATTTGACACACCCTGTACATAAATAAAATACAAGAGGACTTTGCACACTAGTTGTTCATTAAAATATTTTTAAGATCTAATTGATAACTCTTAAATTATTAATTTTAAAAAAATTATACTTGAACCATTAAATTTTACGTAAAAAGGTGCTTTGGAAATGTTTTCATAAAAATACAAAATTTTTCATAGCAAAAAGGTTACAGCGGTTTGTTAAAAATGCATATTTTTGAAAAACACCCTGTAACTCATAAACGGTGACAGATATCGATGTGTGGTTTTCACCATCATGTTTTTTGATAAAAATTCAGCTCCAGACACCGATATTAGTTTTCGTTATCTCCTATAGAAAAGGGTGTTTCCCTTTAAAAGCGTGGAATTTGACACACCCTGTACATAAATAAAATACAAGAGGACTTTGCACACTAGTTGTTCATTAAAATATTTTTAAGATCTAATTTAGATACAGATGTTTTGTTTGTTGATGTTACGAAAATATTTTTGAAACATGTTTAATTATATTAGATCTCCAAAAATACTATTTTTGACTCAACTTAAAAATTATTTCAAACATTGTCAAACTTAGGTATAATGGCATTATACACAAAATGTGTTTAAAATTAAAAAATTGAAAAGCACTTACCTTTAATGACGCCATATCTGATACAGATCGATGCGTCTGAATTGTCTCCAATTGGTCCAAACACCAATCCAGTTCTTCCATAGTTTCCATTGCTAATTTCAAGTATGCTTCATCTGAAATAATAACGAAAGATCAGAATAATAAATAAATATGAATAATTATTACTTTCTCTAAGTTTAAAAGATTTCACGTTTTTCGACCGAAAAGTCAAAGGCTCAAACTTATTAAACTTATTGAATCAAAAAATTTCCATTTCTAAATATATAAAAATAAGAAAATGATGTTTTCTGATGAGGGAGTTCGTGCTTGGTAAATTTTGTCGGTATACAAATTAAAACTTTCTTAGGGAAAAAAACGTTAAGGAGATGTTTTAGGTTAAACATGGGACAAAGAAGGGGAAACCGAAATTTTATCTGAAGCTGGGGAATTCTGGAGGGAAACCATTTTGTATTTGCTTAGGTATTTCTTTATGTACCCCAAAGAAATTTTGCTAAATATTCCTTAAATACTTAATATGTGTGCGTTTGAGGTGGATTAATTCGTTAAATAATACTTTGAACACATTTTTGGGGTGTTCTGAATTCTGTAATATAGCTGAATAATGTGAAATTGTACAGGTTGGGTCAAATTAGACGCTTTTAAATGGAAACACCCTTTTCTATAGGAAATAGACAAAACTAATATCGGTGTCTGGAGTTCAATTTTTGTCAAAACATGATGGTGAAAACCGCACAACGATATCTGTTACCGTTTTTGCTGTTACGGGGTGTTTTAAAAAATATTCATTTTTAACAAATCGTTGTAACTTTTTTGCTATGGGAAATTTTGTATTTTTATGAAAACATTTCCAAAAGCAATTTTTTACGTAGAATTTAATGGTTTAAGCATAATTTTTTTAAAATTAATAATTTAGGAATTATCAACAGAAAATTTGATTTTTATATGGGACACCCTGTATATATTTTGTTATAATCCCCTTCGAAATACAGAATTTTTAAAAGTTCGCCACTTTTAACTAGTAGGCTTTGGACCCCTCATTGATGATATGCCCTTAATGGAACTTCGAAAACATATTTTTCCAGCAAGACGACGCACCGCTTCTGAACGCCGAGAGCAAATTTCTGCAGCCAATTTCAAGAATAATTGAATAGCTGACCAAGCATCCAGCCGTTGGCCGTCGAGGCCGCCTGACTTAGTGCCCATGGATCTAATTCTATGGATATATTTGCGGAAGAATAAAGGTTCCTTATTCTTCTGTATAATCTAGACAAGAATTAGAAATACTTAGGAGTTATGAGAGGGTATCTTTCACCCCTACTGAGTTAATGAATTCCGCGAGAAATGTTCAAAAACTGCCCCGTCTGTCCATAACAGAAGACGGTCGATATGTCGAACACCTGTAGCAAAAATCTTATGTCCTGGTTTGCTATTTATTTTTATTGTTATTAGATATAGTTTAAATATGTTGATGTTGGTTAAATATATTTTAAATTGTTTTAAAATTCTGCATCTCTCATAGCAAATATTATTTTCGTTTTAATTGATGCTCACAGCTAGAATTTTTTACATTACAGAAGATTGCCATTCAAAGCCTACTTATTTAAAACTGGCGAATTTTTATACACTATATCTCGAGGGATCGAGCAAAATATCAAGTGTCTATATTTTTGGAAAGATAATTTTAAATTCTTTTCAATAAATTAAAATATACAGTGTGTCCCCATATAACAAATCAGTTTTTCTGTTGATAACTCTTAAATTATTAATTTAAAAAAAAATATACTAAAACAATTAAATTCTACGTAAAAGGTGCTTTGGAAATGTTTTCATAGAAATACAAAATTTTCCATAGCAAAAAGTTACAGTTATTTGTTAAAAATGCACATTTTTGAAAACACCCCCGTAACTCCAGAAACGGTAACAGATATTGATGTGCGGTTTTCACCATCTTGTTTTTGATGAAAATTGAGTTCCAGACACCGATATTAGTTTTCGTCTATCTCCTATAGAAAAGGGTGTTTCCATTTAAAAGCGTCGAATTTGACCCACCCTGTACAGGTTGTTCCATTTTCTTTGGCCATGCCCGGTATCCCCTTGGTGGGTGAAGACTCTATGCTTTATTCAAAATTATTTACGCCCATAAATACATAATTAACTTAAAAATACTTTTTTGGGTTTATTTATCAGTATCTATGGTTAATCAATAAAATAAGTTATTTATAGCTAGTGACCATTAATAATTGATTGCCAAACTACAGTTAGGCATAATAATTTGTTTTTTAGATTTGTTATGACATTTTATTAAATGGTTTGGTAAACATAGTTTTTTTCCGTAAATCCTTTTATTTACAATCCGCAAATAGGTCTGACTGATATGCGCAATATGTAAGATGGTCAAAAGCAATCTTTTTATTGGTGGTTTTAAATCTATCGAGATGATAAAGGAACAGTGTTGCCAAAAAACTCTTTAGAATATAATATTATAAAAAAAATAAAACTATGTTGTTTTATTTATTCCTGTGGAATATTACAAATTTGTATTTGTACATAAGTTATATTAATAAATATAATCATAAATGCGGGTAGTTTCATAAAGCTTGAAAGTAAATAATAGTTCTTTTTTATATTTTTTTGGTATGTAGTGTCTTTTTCTTGTTTGTTTTGTATTAACACATACCGTTTTTATTAAATAAAATAACTCGATTACATTTTTTCAGTTTTATACAGTTTTTTTCACAATATTTTGAAGTAATGTCTTGAACTTGAATGAACTTGTCATCTTGTCAATCAAATTTTAAATATTTCCTGCTATGCGTTCCAGTTGTACCAACTTATTTCTTTGTAAAATAAAATAAACTACTTTGAAATTAAAATGACAGACATATCTATCACTGTCAAGGATCTTCTCGTTGGACAGACTATAGTAATTATTTATTATTTATCAGTATATAGCAGCATATAGTAAAATATACAAATAAATAAAGTAAAAATATAAACTATTGTAATTCTTCTGCGTGTTCCTATTTTCTCTGTTTTTTTCGTACTAGCTAATTTTAAAATTATAAAAAAATGATCCATAACCTTATCGGTTATTCCATTTCCCACGGCAACCTTCGACATTTTTGGACGAACGCCCAACGACCTTTGCGTGTTGACCGTTAAAACAATCGAGTGTCGTATCCAAATATTTGCTTTGTCGCGGACATTGAAAAGGAACTACGTGTAGGAAGTCACAGATTTTCCTGCTATTTGCCAATTAAGTCATCGCAGAGATGTTGTCGTTCCTAATTACATTTCCAGCGCTAAGTTGCAGCCAGCTAACCGGGTCAAGGATGATCGATAGATAGATCAAACATGTTTTGAGAGAGGTTGTGCATCTAACTATAAAGCGTGATAAAATATGCAAATTTGCATAGTAAATTAACTTTTTCATTGTCAGTTACTGTAATAAATAGTTATACCAAACAGGTTTTCAATTTATCACCCAGAACGTTTCAAGTCATTTTTCAAAACTTGAAAATATGAAATATTGGAGGAACTATGTACACAGGGTGAATCTTAGATATATATAAATTCGGGTCAGAACGTCCTACGACGTTGTCCGATGCCTACTTCCACCCTGTGGGATTTTCCCATTGATCTTCGGTCAGATTTTTCTCGCTCATCGACCTTCTTATTCCTTCCAGCCACGTTTTCTTGGGACGTCCTCTCTTTCGTTTACCTGGTGGTATCCAATGAATGACTTGTTTTGGAATTCTTTCATTGTGCATTCTCTGATCGTGGCCGTACCATATTAATTGTTTTTGTTCTATATCATTTACTATTGTTCCCTCTATTCCAATCTGTTGTCTAATGTCTTCGTTTCTGATCTTATCCCTCCGTGAAATTCTCATTGCTCTTCTAATCGCGTCCATTTCTGTTGTCTCTAATTTCCTTTTTTTTCCTTTCAGTGAGTCGCCATGTTTCACATCCATAGAGTAATATGCTTTTAACTAGTGTCTCGTATATATTATATTTCCTGTTTCTTCTAATTTTAGTGCTCTTCGTGCCTGTATTACTCTGTTGTTTATTTCCCTATCGTCCGTTCAATCTCCTGTAAATATCGAACCCAGGTACCTGAACCCAGGTATCTTCACATGCCCTAATTTCCATATTATTGTCCAAAATATGATTTTCTGTATTGGTTCCAATTGGAAGGTACTTTGTTTTTTCTGTATTTACTGTGAGACCCCATTTAGCATATTCTTCAATTATTTTCCGCACCATTCCATGTCATCTCTGTCGTTTGCAATTATGTCCTGGTCGTCTGCAAATTGCAAGGTGTATAAGCATATGTCATTTAGTTCTATAGCCATTCCGTTACATTTTCTTTTCCATAGATATACAGTAACCCTGTCGGAGCACTTTAGTGATAGCAATTTCCTCTGAGAGACCGTTGACCGTTTTTTATTTATGATTTTCCTCCATGGTAAAGATTTTGTACAGGTTTTATCAGAACTGCGTTAATTCTTGATTCGTGCAATACTTCCCATAATTTTATTATTGGCACTGTATCATATGCTTTCTGTAGATCGATGAATGTTATATGAACTTCCTAGTTCATTGCAGATTTCCTCTCGATGATCTGTTTCAATGCAAAGGTATTATCTGTACATGATGTTCCGCCTCTGAAACCATTCTGCTCTTCTTCTTCGTAGCTGGAGTATTCCTCTTCAATTAAGTTCCTCAGTATCCTTCCATAGAGCCGACTCATAGTGCTGGTGACCGAAATTCCCCGGTAGTTATTGGGAATCTTAGAATACGAATCTTAGATATGAATCTTAGATAACTGCAAATATTTTCATGTCTTTTCAAGCACTTTAAAAACGGTCATATTCATTTTCTTCGAAAAATGTGTCCTTTCGCCATTATTTTACGGTAAAAGGTTGCAATTTAGTTTTCGAAAAATAAAAAATCACCTTTACAGAGTGATAAATCGGCTATTATTACACCTACGGTTAATAATAGCCGATTATTAACCGTATCGGCTAATTTTTGTTTAGTAAACAAAAATTCGCTATTCCAAAAGCTTCATTTTTGCTTTATATGAGTTTTGCGACAAAACGCAAGATTT